CACACACACACACACACACACACACGTACATACACATATACACAAAGGCGTATACAACTCCCACTATAATTGCTTTGAATGCCGCAACTATCCGGTCCAAACGACCCCTTCACTTCACTCGGTCTCCTATTCTTTCAATTTTCAGAAATAACATAGTCACCAAACATATGTTGCAGTAATGGGGAGTAACAACATATCTATCCATCCATCTATCTCAATGTCTTTTTCATATATTACCCTTTTCTGGATCATCTGACAAAATGACAAAATCATTTTACAGTACTTTAATGTATTGAAAATTAACATCGCCTTTATCTCATATAGGTGAACAGGTATAAAAACAAGCGGAAAATGCGAAGGCGCTCAAACACCTGAAACTTTGCTCACCTATGCTTGAAAATACTTAGGTTGAGTCGAAGTCCCAGGCGCCAAGCACTCTCCGGCTAAAATAGGGGAGAAAATTAGAAATCTTCAGAGCACAGTAACCATCATCTCATGAAATAAATTTTCATCATAACAATTGATTGTTAGCAAATGTGATTCACAATGATACAATGAAATGAGCGGGAAAAGATAACAAAAGCTGCAATGGAACCACATCGAAATGGAAATGAATATATGTCTTCTCGAGTCCTATTAATTGATACAGTTGATTTACTAATTTCCCAGTATCTTCTTTTCCAAACATTTCCCAGAAATTCTCTACTAAATGAGTAAGAAAACTTTCAGTTGAGGAAAGCAACCATCAAAATTAGTGACGATTACTTGTCAGCTCAGATGAGAAAGGTGTCCACTGATTCTGAGAGTATGCATTAAAATTATTGGAAAATCTTGTTAATACTGCCCATCAAAATCATACGCGCTTCGGACAAATTTACATTTCCTTTACCAATCCAGCAGCCTCTTTTCTGTCCGTTATTTCTTCGCCTTCCCATTTCCTTTCCTTCCTCCTCTCTTTGCAAAATGTAAGCACACTTTATAAGCATCACAGATAAGAGTAACGACCTATTTCGTAATGTCACAAATCGACTTTAAATTGAATCGAAAATTAAAAAATCCATGATAAATGAGTACTTTCTTTAGAAGATCAAAATTTAATTTCTTATTTCTGTTGTGTTACTTATACAAACAATTATTGCTAAAATATAGCTAACTCTCTCCGTTTGGGCATAATACTTTAGCATCCGTTACAATTCTTTTAAGCTCTCCTTTTCAGATTGTATTTTACAATTCAGAAAGATCCGAGCATGTACAATCTTCCTTTCTGACAAAGAAAAGTGACGAGAGATGAAATGAGAGAGAGCGAACATAAAAGGAAATTAATATTATTCACGACAGAACAGCAGCAGCAGCAGCAGCAGCAGCAGCAATGTCCCAACCACCGTTAATAACAGCTAGCAGCAATCACTATCGCTAGGCTTAACACGGCTAAACATAGGTTTGAAACAAAAGCCAAAGAATTGACTCTCCGTGCGCTTCAATGTTTGTATCTGGTGCTTGTGTAAATTAGCTGCATGGGAAAAGGATGAGGGAACCAGAAGCGCTAACGATGTACAATTCGCAACGACGACAACGACAACGGCAACGACAACGACAACGATAACGATAGCTGATGGACTAAAATGGATGTTTACGAAGCCTACCGCTGCCTTGTGGCATCAAGCAAAAATAAGCAAAGAAGCAAAAGCTGCCTCTCGCCATTCGTGAAATTCAATCCCTGTCCCTTCCCACCAACATCATCACCACCACCATTTATTCCATCCATCCATCTATCCCTACCCAATTCACTCATCTCCCTATGTTCGTTCATATTCAGTTTAGCTAGCACACCCATGACCATGACCCTTAGTTACCTCTCTCTCCTTTCTCTGTTATACGCAAATTCTCCCTATACTACTACTACCACATCAGGGTGACATAGCCCTACATAGTGGAGTGAGAAGAAGAAGCAAATGCTTGCGCATATTTCTCCTCTCCCTCTCTCTCTCTCATTCTGCTTCCAAACTCATGTAATCACCTTAATTCATTTTAAACATGCCAACATTGGCCAACTCGGCGATGGTCCATCATACTTCCTTGGCTATTCCATTCATTCATGCATGCGCATACACACTAATTACTATAAGGCTAGGTGAAAAGCTAAATGCCTTCATCTCATCCTTCATATCGTTTACATGACTAAACAGAAGTTTGAAATGTAACACTGGTAGAAAATATACTTAAATATTCCTGAAACTAATAAATAATAGTGATGAAAGCACACACACTGCTATCAGCGACTATAAAGATTAACCAAACTCCAGAAATGTCCAAGCGAATAAAAGGCCTCTACAAAGCCGTAAAGTTCGATTATTGAAAAAGAAAATAAATGATGAGAAACGAGGCCAACCGACCACAAATGCACATCAAAAGATAACAGTATATAAAATGTATGCATAGTGAAAAGATGGTGTCATATATGGGAAGAGGATGATGAGGTGTACCTCTCTCTTCTCTCTCTCTTTTTTTCCATGTATACAAATACATACATATAATTTGATAGGAAAATTTCAAAAACTTCATTTAAAGAAGATCAATTAAGCTTAATTTTTTTCAGAATCAAGTTCACGAAGCCTTAAAGCGAAGCTATCTCATACAACAAAAGATTCACACATTTTTCAATTTACTGATAAAGAACTCAATTTAAGGCATGAGATATTTACAACCATTAAAAATTGTAATGCATTCAATGCTGCGACACGCAGAAAGTACACAACTTGATTACACATGAAAAAGTTGCACGCACTACAATGAACAGTGTTCCTCCACGTTTGGAGAAAACGAAAAATTTCGCAATCATGTTAAATGGTAGCACACATTTAACTGACTAAGTTTCTTCGCATCATCTGCTACTTATACATCAATGAGAAGGGCTAACTTTTTTTAAACTATAACCATCATTCTATCAAAATTACTACATACTGCAGTCATAAAGTTAACCAAAATATCACTCCATTATGATTGATGTAGTCAAATTTAAAAAAAAAAAAAAAAACTTGAGAGCTTTCCTCTTTAAATTCTCAAAAAAAAACATACATACATACACACACATACACACACACACATATATACACACACACACATACACACATACACACATATATATATATATAGAGTATGAAATGGAAGACAACAATGCTTAAAATTGTATAGCTCAAAATCTAACAACAGTAGTATGCTTTAATAATCCATATTAAGAAAACTATGCAAATAAAATTTAAATGTAAGGAGGATAAAAGAAAGTTCATGATCAAATCATTAATCCTGGAAATCGTCACTAATAAAATTAATCGTGGGAATCGGATGAAATCATCGAAACCAGTTAGCACTCATTGCTTAAGCACCACTTATTACGATTGAAAAATGTAAATAATGCTAGCAAATGCATCTGATAACTGAAACAATATATATCCACAAAAGTGACAAGAGCCAATAATTAAATACCACCATGAACTGCGTCAAAAGTAAAACAATATATGTCTTGTAACAAAAATATTCTATTCCACGTACATCTTCCATTCAGACAAAAATAATTCGATATTTCGATATTCGATTTAATCCACCATTGCATAAGTTTTTAGCGGAACGTTAAAATAGACCACCATTCAAGTCATCATCATTACTCATACGTTAAACTTCAGCGAATACGTCACATCATATCATCATGAACATTACAGTAATTTGTCCTGATAAAAATAACCATCGGTAGCGGAATGATTAAATTATTTCAAAAACATTCCTCCTATATTACAGATAATAGATAAGATATGCAAATTAGCTAGAAATAAATAAAATCATACAATACAGAAATAGAATATTAGGGACTAACTGAGAATTCAATAACAACTGAAATAACATGAAATAATTGATGAATAAGAATGGAGTTGATATTAAAAAAAAAGACTGATGATAAAATAGAGGAGTGAGGAGAGAGAAAGAGTGAAAAAGATGCTGTTTGATTTCAAATGGACAATATTGAATCATGCAAAAACTACTCATTCCTTTCACAAATGTCACACATACACACACATACACATACACACACACACACA